AAAAAAAAAAAACGTCAATTGCAGTGGTGGCACATGACAATGACATTGACATTAGACAAATGAAATTAAAATCTATCTTTAAGAAAAAAAATCCTTCGATTAAAATCAAACGCAACAAGATAGTCGTTATATTTCGGTTCAGTTTTACTTTTATTTTATAATTGTATCACATAAATGGACGTGGAAGTAAAAAATAGTAAAAAGGAACTGACTCATACATTTAATGTATAAGCATTATTGGCGGTAACACTTCAAAAATGACCATATCTTTCTATTTCTATACTAATATTATAAAGAGGAAAGATTTGAACTTTTGAATACTTGTATGTGTTGAAATAACTCAAAAACTACTAGGCCGATTTCTCTCACCATTGATGAACTATGTGTGAGTAACATAGGCTATGTATTCATATTTTTTTAATTTCATCGGGGCGAAGTCGCGAGCAACACCTATTTGTAAATAATAAAAAAACTTTCAGGGATAGGTATGCAGTATCTGTATATGCAGAGATCTAAGAGGACATAAAATTCAGGGACAATCTTATTATTTAAAATGAATTCAAGTACATACAAACTTCCATTGGACAATGGCTTAAATTTAACGTATGTATTCTGTTTCTTATAATTAAATTGCACTTTATTAATACTTATTTTTTAATGTACATCTTGGTGTATATTTTGCCATTTCCTAAAAACAAAATTCATGTTTTAAGGGAGGTACTTACAACAGGTTCAATCCTAAAAATAAATGAAATATATGAAGATGTTGATGAACAATTAGAACCAGAAAACAAAGATAGGAACACTTTTGAATATTTAGGACAACCGGTTAAGTCATTTCAAGAACTCAAACTGAATCCTGTGGATGAGAAAGGATTTGTTAAAAAGAGGATAATTGAAGAAGGAGGAGGTTTACCTTTAAGTGATGAAAATACTGCTTCAATAGCTTACACCAGCTATTGGGAGAATGAAACAGAACCATTTGACCTTGTTAAAATTAGTAAACCATTAGTAAGTTTCCTATCTTACTTCTTACTATATATTTGTAAATTTTGATGGTTGAATATTTGTTACTCATCTCTAAAACTTCTTATTGCAACACCAAGATCCATAATGTAGTCAGGTACATATGCTACTTACTTTTGTTTTTCTATGCTGAAGTTGTGGTCAAAAGCTAAAGGTGTAAAAACTTATCATGTTTGTAACATTCTATTTTACATCATGAAATGTAGGCTTATATTTATTATTATGTTTTCTTTTTGATAAAGGTTGTGGATCTGAAAGATAATAGTTTATTACCTGGCATACAATTAGCAGTCCGTTCTATGCTTGTTGGAGAACTATCATTATTTCTTCTTTCCCACGAAGTAATGTATGGTGAAATGGGAATTCCACCAAGGATCAAACCTAAGGCAGAATGTATATTCTATATTAAGTTAATAAAAAGCATAATTACTCCAAAACAAGGGTGAGATACTTCATTTCAATAATTTGTAATTGTAATTTTTTTGTGTTACATTGTTTTTTTGTGAATGTCAATTTACTCTGTGTGTGGCAGTGCATCTGCCAAGGCGAACATAGCTAAACTATCTTTTCTCGAAGCAGTTCAGGGCACTTTTGACACCCCTGTAACTTCCTTGCAGATAAAGAAAAGAAAGATGAAATCTTTTAATTACTATCTAGTAGTTTACAAATTATAGCTAGTTGAAATATTCACTTTTTTATACAAATGCGTGTTTAATCATAATTTAAAGGCACTTAAAATGGTACTACAAACTTGAAATTTAGGACTTAGTCCATGCTCTGTCTATAGATTTAAGAGAAAATAGATATAAGAAAAAATAGAAACTTCTAGATCTCGAAGTATTGTGTGGTAGGAAGGGGTTAAAATAAAATGGTTTTTAGGCAACTTTGTGAACTTAAATCTCAATCCCATGGAAAATATAAAAAATATCGAGTCTCAAAGCTTTCGAGAAGGATTTGTGTTAATTTGAAGATAAATGGCACCATGTAATTGCTAAGACTTCATAATAGAGACTAATTAAAATGACTAGGTTTTAAATGACATCTAACTCATTTTTTGTAGCGGAATCGAAACTCAGCATTATTTATATTACATGTTTCTCATGAGATTTACTTTACTTACAGACCTATAAACTTCTCGGAGCCGAATATGTTTCCCAGAGTTAACCATGAAGTTAATTTACTTTATAGTTCAGGTGTTACATTGCATAAAACTAAAAATTACATGGCAGCCGTACAGGTGTTTAGAAAAGGTGTTTCTATGCTCCATAAGTGTCGATTAGTGGATGAAAAGGAAGAGAAAATCCAAGAAAAACTACTTATAAAGTTGTATGTTAATCTAGCAATATGTTATAATAAATTAAATAAACCACTTCAAGCATGTACTGCATGTAATGAATTAAACAGACTTAATAGTCTGTGGAATAATAGTAAGATGCTATTTCAAAATGCGAAAGCACTTCGAATGATTGGGCAATTCAATGAAGCAGAAAAAAAGTTAAAAAGAGCCTTAAAACTAGTGCCAAACAATGAAGAATTGCAAATGGAATTGGAACTACTTCTAAAAACTCGAGACTCCTGCAAACAGATTTCATTGATAGGCAGAGATACTTTAGAACCAGTAAATGACAACTTTAAGCGAGAAGTGGATGCTCTAATAATAAATTTTAAGAATAATGTAAATATATGCAAGCTTACATTACCAAGTGGTTTAAATTCAGATGAAAAGGCTTACGTAAAAGATGCCTGCATCAGAGAAAATTTATTTTTTAACGAGATACAAAAGAATTACTTTTTAGATAAAGATGAAGTAAATGAGAAGGAAGATTCATTGTTAATTTCTACAGATAATCAATAAAAATATGTACAAGAAAATTTGTTTTCTTATTTCCCACTTTAGCAGTTTTTTTTTTTTTACAAAAAATTAAAACAAACTATATTTCAACAAATTATATTTCATATTCATCCGTAATTACAATAATCCATAAAACTAATAATGACTACAGTCTATCGGCGGAACCACACCTTTTTGAGTCCTTAAAATGCAACACTTATCATGAATTAACTGAAATGCAATAAAGCACAGTACCACATCCTGACTTGTACCGAAATCTCTTGACAGCAGCAATGGTTTAGTTCTGTGTAGGAAGGTTTAGGAGTACATTTTGTCCTTGAGGTAGGTAGGTCACATTTCGCGATTTTGCTAGTTGGTAAGCAATATCTTCTGCAGCTTCAATACGTCTGAGTTCCACCAGACCTTCTCCTGCACTACCAAAGGACTTGGCAAGGAGTATGGCAGCCTGAGCGTCACCCTCGGCCGCTATGACGGCCGCTTTCTTCTGTTGCTCTGCCTTTTCTACAAGGAATCGAGCCTTTTCAGCCTCTTGTTGCGCTACTTGTTTCAATTCAACAGCCTGAGTGAACTCCTTGCCAAATGTCAAATGTGTGATCGAGATGTCATCCAAAATCAGACCAAACTGTGATGCTCTTTCAGTGAGACTTTCATTAACTTTTTGTGATACAATCTGTAAATAATTTAAAAATATGGGTTTAAACGAGCTTTCATAAAAATTCTTCATTACCAAAAAGAAACAATAAAATTTATTCCAAAAAGAAAATCAAAGAACATGACTACATTAAAATAACTGCAATTAAAGATTTTTGTAATTCGAATCTGCATAAATGTAGTTTAGGTTACCTCTCTCTGTGTAATAAGTTCTCCAGCATCAAACTGTGCCACCACAGCTTTAAGAACTTCAGAAGTGATAGAAGGAAGCACCCTCTCCTCATAGTCTATGCCGAGAATCGTGTAGATCTTTGGCAGCTGGTCAGGCACTGGTCTGAACAGGATACGCAGTGTGATGTTGACATTTTGAAGATCTGAAATGACATTAAAATACATGATTAAAATTAACAAAATGACACCCTATTTTGTTAGAAAGAAAATTGAAAATAGTGGTGCATCAATATAAAATAGAATAGTTTTATTACTATATTATTTACATTACATACAACTTGCTTTACTTGAAAACTGTTTTTGTATAATATGTGTTATATAAAATTAGGGTTAATTTATAGTAAGAATTATAGTTAAAGTTATTTGATTCAATGTTAGAATAAAAAATCTTATGAGCGCTGTGTATGCATGTCATCTGTATGTTCTGTTTTTTTATTTTTCTTTGTGTACATTATATTCAATTTGGTTGTGTACTTTGAAAATGCAATTGGTGTACCTTTCTATTAAGTAAATAAATGATGTTTCTGGATACTTTTATAATTTAATGTTTATCAGTACGACAACTGACCCTGTTAGGTGCTCATTAGCAGAAAACTGTCAAGCCTAACGGTGTAAACTCTAACAGCCTTACAAATAAACATAGTATAAAGTTAAACTTAGTAATAAACAGAGTATAAGCTCTAAGTTAATATTATCTTTATTTCCAAGTTTAACTGTAGACAGCATTTAAGGCTTTATTTATGCACCCTGTTACCAGCTACCAAGTATCTGGACATACATATGTAGTACAAACATGTGGTTACATATCGCAGCAGGTAACATATATAATAATATAGGTTGAACAATATTTATTATGATAAGTAAACAATTTACCTTTACTTCCTGTCACAGTAGGAACATTTCTGGGTCTCGATCTAATGTCAAAGATAATAGGTTTCTGCACCCATGGGATGAAGAAATGTGTACCTTCACCCACAACAAGGTTTTTGACACCAGCAAACCTATCGAAGATTACAGCTCGGTGGCCACCATCAACTGGAAATTATCAAAATGAAAATGATTAACTGCTAAAGAGACTACAAATGTATATGAAACTGATTGAATAAATTAAATGAAAGTGTAATTTATCTTACAATTAAATGTGAAGGAACAGTTTTTATAAATTAAACAAATTTAACTAATGTTATGGCTGCATCCCTAGAAGTAGGCATACTATAGACTGCCATCTGAGGCAGTCCTGCCTTACCCCTCACATTCTCCAGCCTACCACATACATACAAATTATTATGATTTATGTTGATTATTTTAAAAACATAAAACTTTATACCATTGTATAGCGCAGAATTGACAACACCGCCGACAACAGCTACGCCAAGACCAAGTTGTCCAATTCGGTTAAAGAGCTGGGCCGCCATTTCTGAAAAGATATAAAATAAATATATGGCACGTTATCATTATGTTTAGTTAATATGTTAGTCGTATCGGTATTATATAATATTGATAATATTAAATTTGGTAAAAATGCCGAAGTCAAATGGAGGGAGAAAATAGCATTTATATCTTTTATAAGAGATTTTATGTAATCAAGAGTACGGAAATGGTTATTGGTAATTGCAATAAATGCAAAAATGTAAGTTAAAACCGAATAACATAAAGATTTAGACAAGTTGCACCATTATCTAACCTCAAAACGACTTAGAATGTGGAAATGAAGAAGTATCAAATGTATGTTAAGCAATGAAACAACTTACGTTCTGAATAGACTGCTTAATAAGTTAATCTCTACTTAGCACATATATAGTATTAAAGAAATAGAAAACAAAGTAATTTCGGCTCACGTAATGTTAAGAAATCTTCAGTAAAATAATTGTTTTAATAACCACAGACAAAACAAATAATTTTGTCAGAGAGTACAGACTATAGAAATTATTAAATCAAACGTCAAATTCCAACTCTATATTACTTAAGCGGTAAAATCGAATTACACATTAGAAAAATATTGGATTATTTTCTTTTTAATAAGTTCATTTTAAATTATAATAAGAAAATCAGACTTAATACATTTCAATTTGCATTCTTGACCTAATAAAATGTACTTAGAAGTTTCGTTTTCCGCAAGTCTGTGAATGATAATGTATGGACTTATGTTTGTATGAAAATATGTCATTTCTATTTCGTCGTTCTAATGCCTAAACGAAGAGTGCACCGCATTCCAATTTTCCATTTCTATTATCCTCGAAATATCACAGGAGTACAATCAGTCGACGTTTTTCGTTTTGCTGCTATTTTCTAAACAGTACGCGTTCAGCTGGCTTTAATTAAGTAGTAGTTTACCTACTTAACTGGGGGTTAACAATATGAGGACAAACGGGTATGTGCTTCTGTCTGTTTATTAGCCAAATTAGCAAACTCTACTCACGGGAGCCAGATGGTAATTGAACGAGAAATAAACAAATATTGGCACTAAATGGGGCTAATCGGTCTCAGTCTGCTGAGGGTCGTAGCGTGGGTGGCTCAATTATGCAATAACAACCAATGAGCAAATGATTATCTTATAAAATCTCATGTCACAACGTCGGATTAATCGTTGTTAATACAAATCAGGTTGTCTAAATTGCTAAGTAAAAAAAGTAATTTAGGTCATATGTCGTTTTTTCATCTTTGAAATTTAGTATAAATATGTACTTTAACCATATCTTATGTTTGGTTATAAGGTAGAAATAATTTCTTGCATTTGGGTACTTGGAGGATCGGTATTTAATCAGGAAGGTTCAATAAACGGATTCACATTCACGTCTAGTTTCTGAGGTTAAATGTTGATTGCTGATATCAACGACAATTAATAAAATAAACAAAATGATGCATAAACACACTGATTAAATGCCACAGTGTTGCAGTGATTTGAGTAAATAACAAGTGTTTATATTAAATCAAAATGCACGTAAAAGTGCCTGAAGTAGAGAAATGTTGCTTTTGCATTCCTTTAAGAGGGGGGATTATTATATTTGGATATATTAATATAGTAAGTAGTTAATATTATTTTTTTAGTTACTAATTGTTACTTTAGTGACTTATATTAGAGCCAGTGTTTTTAAATAAGTTATATGAAAGTTTTGTTAAATTCACAAATTCTATAGCTTAGAGATTTCTGGAAGATTTCTTGTTATAAAATATATGTTTGTAGATATTGTCGGTATGCGCGGTGACATGCCTCGTTATCAGGACCGAGCTGCAGCGGCTGTCGGTGACAAACGACGCCTCTCTAGAAGTCGTCACCTCCACCGTATTGTTCAGTATACTAGGTATGGGCGTCATACTGAACATACTGCTACTTGTAGCCGGATATCAGGTAATACTAAGTTTCTTTTATTAAAAACATATTGATGTTAGGTTTTCAATTTAATTTTCCGCTTTGTTACTTCTTTTTTAAATCGGGCTTACATCTTTGACTAAACTTTCACACTGTTATGCGATTGTCGATTGTTTCGCAGGCAATTCAACTGTTTAGTTGCACAACTAAAAATCGAGTAGTGTGCGACCCTCCATATAAGCCCATAGGAATCAAAGCGAGATTAAACAGTTGTGCGATAGTTTAGTTTCAGATGTGCACACGCTCTTAATGAGTAGCAACGTATCTAGTGTTGCCATTAGATGTGATTACAAGATACAAAATCGTATCAGTGTTTTTTTTTTATTTCCAGAGAGATTTGTTAATGTTACGATTGTATAATTATTATGCTGTGGCAACAACACTGGCAGCTCAGGTGCCTATATTCATGCTGCTTTCCCGGGGGATGCTTTTTGAGGTTTTCACAGCGCTCTTTGCTTTACGTAAGTATAAATAGTAAGATGATGTTTACATTGATTGGTAATAGGACTCATGGGCGTCTTATGTAGCGGGGGTGGGCTCTTAGGGAAATTTAAAAATAGAAAAACTGCTTTGAATAAGTTTAGATCATCGGCTGGTGTCGTTCATGATAAGACTCTTTTAGCTTGATACCATGTATTATAACCGCGTAATTCCACTGCTGTAACACAAACTAAACAATATTCTTATGTCCTTTTATTAACATGTGTAATATGATTCTATTTCGACAGTTTTAAAGGGTTAATTCGTTACAGTAATGCAGTGCTACGTGATTGTGTTGGTGCGCAGCGAGGTAATGAAGCTGGAGCAAGAGGAGATGGAACACGAGGAGCTCGCGGAGAACCAGCTGACGGTCGTAGTTCCTGATAGTGTTACTTTGTTATAACAATGATTACGTTTACAGATGACATTAAATATTTAAAAAAAAACACGATTCCTGATTCTATAGGTCTTTACTAATGTCAGCGTAAAGGCCACCAGCTCGTTTGATATTTAAAAATATAAAAATCGGAGCAGTTATTTTACCTATGTACAAATATACGATACTTCTTACTTATATTATAAATGCCAAAATTTAGATGAATGGATGTTTGTTAAAGTTTATAGCCTAAATTGATTTACGGATCTCGATGAAATTTTGTATAGATGTAGAGGATAGTCTGGAAGAACGGCTATTTGCTTTTGTTTTTATTAAATTCCAGGCGGACGGATTCGTCGGCGAAAGCTAGTAGTTATATAGTTATTAAATAATATGTTGAATTATTTTATTATTATATGTCAACACGGCTGTAAAGATTTTCCAATTGGAGACATAATATGACTGGTATTAAGAATAATAATTGCAATACATATTTAAGGTTAAACGTTTCTTTTCACCGGTCACGATCACGGCGGCTTGCGGTAAGTGCTTGGAATTATTAAAAAAAAATCGAAATATTTCCCAATTTGTTGCACGAGCACAGGTGGGCGCCCGCGGACAGGAATCGTGACTTACTCCCGGGACCATTGTCCAGGATAATATTCATTGAAGTAACACTTATATATGAAATATGAGTTAAACGGTACTGACATGCATTGTACACTAAATTGCCAATTAACCAGGCAATCTTACAATGTTGTAAAACAGAATTTGCTGGAACGAGATGCTGCAGCAAGTGCCCTCGACGTTTTAACGCTCGAGGCTTCGTTTACGTGACATTTCATTGTGTAATACATCTTTAATTTTTATTATTATAGTATACGACTAGTAATTTAATAAGGATTTTTTTGATGTTGGCAATATTACTTAAAAAAAATCTGGTAATAATCGGCTATTATTTAACAAGCTTATCGATGAAATAAAAGCCGTGGGTTTGATAGAGAGGTTCATCCAATTCAAATAGTTTTTTCTTATTCCTTGATATGAGTTACTAAGAAACACAATGTATTCCGAGCACTAAAAGGGACTAGTTACTTGTATCTAGAGGTGTGATTAAGGTAATTTTAATATAGTATAAATAATAAGGTTTTAATATGTGGGTAATATGTACCTTCAAGTCGGCACATACGCAGCAGGTGGTATCCGAGTGAGAAAAGTCTGAAAGGCTTAACCGCGAAGGGCGGTGGTCGGCGGTGTGCGGAGAACGGGAGCGGCTCGACTTGCGGACCGCGGAGCCGTTATGAATCACAAGGTTATGTTAAACTTCTTTTTGCCACTATATATTGATTTTGTTGGGGTTGATTTTGCTACTAGGCGAAAATTACTTTTCTATTTACATATTATACTAGTTTAAAAGGGCCGTCTAACTTGAGGTATATTCTCACTTTATTTGCAATCTGTTTGTTGCGCTCTAATGGCCGGTTTCCCAGCTAGTTTCTTAACTTAACGAAAGGCGATTTTGAACTTCTTAACTTGAGTTTTACTCCGTTGAAATATAGATCGACCTAACACTAATGAATGAATGGTAATGATAAAATAAACAGAATCTCCAGAAACCCAGCATCATTTAAACTATGTATTGTAATGTTAATGTATGGGTAAGTTAGGTTGTTTAAGAAAAACGACAGGATTAAGTAGTTCACTCTTTTATTCGTAGTACGATAAAACTAAGCATATTCCGTGCACGGTAGTATTTCGTGCTTTCCACTCTTACACCTATTAATTACTTAAGTAACTTAATAACTTAATAACTTAATAGCCTCAATTAAACAACAATTCGCGTTACAATTCCCCCGCGATGCAAAATGGCGGCTCTCCATGGCCATTTTTTTAAAAACAGCGAAGCTTTAAAAACTGCACTAAGGAGTCCTGTAAAGCGAAATGCACTTATTAGCCATGGAGGGCGCGTCGAGAGCTCCGCCTAATGGTTGCCATTCATGAGCTGAATGGAGACATGAAATTGCCAACAATTATATACTCTCGCAATGATAACTGGCGGATGCTTTAGCTTCGCCAAACTTACTTCGGCTCTGGATAGTCGTGTTTCACAATATTCTAGAAAAATATACCACACTATTTTATTTTATACTACCTTCAGTTTGTTTACTTTTACTTTTATTCTAAAAACATTAAAATTTACTTTTCATTATATCGTCCATTAGTAGAAAAATAATGCACTTTGATTGTGGTTAAAGAAAATTATTACATAAGAACAAAAATCATCAACACAATGTGATTTCGTAGGGTGAGAAACTTTCTTAGTGTAACAAATAACCTAAGAGATTTCTCATCCTAAGTGGTTTTACAATAACTGATACATTTTTTTACGAAGACGTAACAAATATGGCCACACAGCCATAGGAAGTACAGTTTAAGATTTACAATTACATAATATTTGGACATTATAATGGGTCTTCAATATAATATACTAACATCGTTTCAATAGACATTTCTTAACTGAAATATCACAACTGTCAGAATATAGCGGGATAAAGTGATTTGGATGACATAGGAGTCATGTTTCCTTGTACTATTATATTTTTAATGTTATAGTTATGCCGAATGTGGACAATCTGGTATTGTGGGCGATGTGGCGAGGTGACGTCACAACATGGCGGCAGGTAGCGGGAGCGGAGATAGGATCCGGTCATCCTGCCCATTTCCGGTCTTCACGCGGCCGTGACGCTTCCGGCCACGCGTCGCCGCTGCTGCCTTCGCCGACGTAAACACACTGGAAATGATACAAACATATATTTAGTTGTTACTAAATTATTATTATTCCAAAAAATGTTAAACGCTCTTGTCAAATTGTTTTATTTTTATAAACTGACCAGTTAGTAAAATTAATTTGTATAATTGGATTTAAGTTATAGTGACCTATAGTTTTAAAGTTAATTCAAATATTTCAATATTTTCCCATAATATCTTCATTAAATAATAATTTAGTGAACATTTATGCTCGTAACTTAATCTATTAAGTTTTCTTTCTATTTATGAGTCAAATTAGATTGTCTGTATTGTTATAGTCACTTCCAGTGTATAAGTAATTCAATGACAATCTCCGCGTCATGTCGTCACCCGCCGTCCGCCGTCCGCAAGATGAGTTTTGTGGAATGAATTCGTTCGCAGCGACAATTGAATACTGCGCTGTCGCTGTCCGACTGCTGGTTATCTTGGGACAGCGCACTCCTAGCTTCAAACTTTCCTACATAACATATTGCTTAATAGTTATGTATACCATACACAAACATTTAAAACTTTTTGACAATTTGTAAAAACTTGGAGATGTAACAGCTAAACCAAGGTACGCAGAATATAAGTGTATGCTTAAAGTTCTACTCCAAGTAATATTTTAAACCTAATATACGAGCAAGTTCGAAAAATATTACATCGTAGACAATACACATGTCTAATAGAATTTCGATGGATAGCAAAAAATGTCCAGAAGCAACTAAATTTTGTATATAATTAGAGTATAACTAAAAGTTACTTTTAACATTGGTGGTTAATTAATAAGACATCTTATCTATTGATGTAAATAATACGTCAAGTAACTATTAATGTACATTAAAGTCGGGTGTTACAATTTCACAATATTGACAGGTGCCCTTAAGACCACCTGACAGCGGTCATGCCCATATGTCGGTCCCGCGTCGGCTCCCTAAGGCATCACGCGATCACCTTCGATCCACCTTAATTAGCGTATTTCTTTAAATGTCTATTCCATTGACGATCTTCCATGTCTATTTTTATTTTAATTGGAACTTAACGAGCAATCTATTTTACAATTTGTTTAGAATTTCTTATAATTTAACAGTTAAAAAAGACTAAAGGACACACACACACACACACACACACTATGATACTAATTATGTAAAGAGAAAAGACTTAATTGTTACATAGCTTCAAATAGGCTTTCTTTCTTTTGCCATTAGAAGCTACATTATTGAGAATCTAGCTGTTGCTAGCGAATTCGTCCGGTTGAAATTAAAAATAATAAGAATATAGCCTACGCTACTTACTGATGACGTAGCTTTTTAATGGTGATATATTTTTTCAAATCGGCCGTTCGTTTTTGAGTTATTTCAGTACATACAAAAATACAAATCTTTCCTCCTTATAATGTTAGTATAGATATAGACTATATTACGTCAACGGATCACTAGTTAGTTATACAAGGAATTCAAATATCTATCCATTAAATTGATTTAAAACAATTTATTCTAATGTCGATAACTTTAACGAATTAGAAATCGACTCCTGCGTAGTAGAAGTTAATTTATTACCAACATCAAATTAAATAGCAATGTGCTATTGACAAGCGAGACGGATAAGCATTTTGTTTTTACATCATATTGACATCAACATAACCAGTTGACTAGGGTGGCAATGCTTTTAGTATAAACGGCGAAACAAGTTATTGAAAATGGATTTACATTGTCTTATTTGTGTAACATATCTTTTATGGTAATTCGAAGACTCGACGTCCAATATAATTTAATGAATTTCAGCTTGTGTAGTTAAAGAATATGTCTAATTCAATCAAAGACAAAGGTTTTTAAATAAATTTCTGACATTAAATTTTCTATTTCCTATTTTATTACATTAGCAAAAGCTTTTAATTAATAAGACATTAACCATTAATAGCAAAATACGATGCTTTTCGAAAGGAAAGTTCCCATTTGCGGTTAGCTTTATGGTCACCGGAGTGCGGTTCATTTATCGGCTGATTGAAATCGACATATGCCGGGTCTGGTAGATGCCGCGGTTTCCGTCCCGAGTCCTTCCAAACCTCCCTAATGTGACGTGCCTAATAGACGCCCTTTTGAGAATCATCGAGATGTACTTGGATCTTCATTAAATAATGGCTTTCTTGAATGGCCTTATTTAAGCAATTATTTATTGATGCATATTATTTCATTTCAAGGAATCTCATTTTGCTTTGCGTTATACGCGTTGATGTCTTTATAATCAGTATTTTTCGAAATATTTTTTTTTCTAATTATATAATAAGTTTATA